AATATCCACATAAAATACCTCCTAAGTACTTAGAATGTTAGTTGTCCCTATCTGTAAATTAGTAAATACAATGGGATGTGACGCAATCATTAGTGCATTGTTTGGGTCTATTAGGGATCATGACCTTAGACTTTTCAATCACTACCAACTGAGCAGCATAATACGTATTCTCGATGGCTGCTTTCAACCTCTGCCTTAAAACTATACTGTTTGATTCGCCTCTATATTGTGGAAAAAGATGAAAAGTTACTGACTGACACTTTAATAGCAAATGGTTATCCACTCAAGTTTATTAATAGGTGCAAAAGTCAGTTAATGCCAAGACCTCTAATTTATTCAGTGCCAAAGAAATAAGGTCTATATCAATCTACCATATAGAGGCGAATCAAACAGTATAGTTTTAAGGCAGAGGTTGAAAGCAGCCATCGAGAATACGTATTATGCTGCTCAGTTGGTAGTGATTGAAAAGTCTAAGGTCATGATCCCTAATAGACCCAAACAATGCACTAATGATTGCGTCACATCCCATTGTATTTACTAATTTACATGTTTGTGCGGACACACATATATAGGGAGGAGTAATCGAACAATACAATCAAGGGTCAATGAACATGTGCCCAGATGGCTTCAAAATCAGTGTGTGTCAAATGATCCGATTCATGTAGGAGGTAGAAAACCAAGTTCATCGATAGCAAAACATATGATTGAGACGGGGCACAAAATCAACATTAATACAGCATTTAGAACGTTGTATAGAAATTGTCAAGGTCGAATTCTTAAGTTTATTGAAGCCTTAGCTATTCGTAAATTTAGACCCCCCTTATGTGTACAAAAACAATTTGTCGTAACCTTGAATTTACCTTGGTAATCCTTAAGTCATTCTATGGCCTAGGATAACGCGACAATTTCTTATTCTTTCTCTCCCCTTAGTTATTTTAATTGTACTTTTATTTGTTTGACCTTTATTAATTTTCATATAAAAATGCCTTGACAAGTATATGTGTGACCAGATTGTTCGAAATGTATAGCGCAAATACATCACATTTTTTGAACTATTTTTTATCGATCACTTTTGCTTTTTAGCTAAGGTATTTCATGCATACCTATGGTTCGTGTCTACTACTGTTTTAGGTTCTAAAATACAGATGCTAGTAACCTTTTCTACTGTTTTATGATTTCATTAGCAGCCATCAGAACTTTTAACAGGAGTAATTTTCGACGCACTTAAAACTGTCATGAAGACGTCGTCAGCTTGGTAAGTATTCGGACTATAAATAACTGCTAAGGCTGGCAGTGTTGTACAAAATTCAAAATCTGAAAAGCTATTCAGAACGATATTTAGAAGCGTGGAGAATGTGTGCAAAGAGTAGAAATTTGAGTGAACTGGTGACATAGATTTATCCATTCTCCACATTACCCAGTGACCTTAAACCTTCAGATCTAGTGAAAATATGGAAGCATATTAGACACAAAACTCCTCCTCCCTGTCATCGATCATGTAATTACGTCATGAAAATCATTCGTCATTTATGTTTGTATGGACGAATCGTGGGATCTATACCAAGAAAAACCTCCCTAGTCCGTTTTTTGACATACTCTTCCTTGTAGACCCTTAAATTTCTACCGAAAAACGTTTAGTACCTCAGCCCATCAGTATTAACTTTCCTGCCTGAAACGAAACGAGCATTCGAAAAACAATTGACAAGCTATGCTAAAAGTCAATGCGGAACAACGTTTTGGAAAATAAAGTGACTTATATGGAAAGTATTAGGGCACTTATAAATAACTTAGTGAAGATTATATTGTATTTTCTATACTCTAAATTATTAACAGTACGCACCTACTGCATTCTCTCATCTGGAGGCTCTAATCCTATTTCACTCTATCAACAAGAGCTGGTATGTGTTTAATCGAATAATTTATCATTGTAACGACCGGAATGCCAATATTCGGTTTCAACGCAGGACTAACGAACCAAAATTTTTTCGATTAGACCAGTCTACGTTCTTCTGTATAGCGTCCGAGGAGTTTTTGAGTTGCTCGTGTTAAATTATATCAAAACACAAACTCTGTGCTTAATGTAAACAGTTCTAATTTAAGAAGTCATGTCAAAAATACAAAATACCTCAAACGGTACAGCCTGTGCTATAGAGTCTAGGGTTTCTCTAACACAAATTAGCGTGCTAAACAACAGAGGAAACAGTTAATACAAAAGAACTCAACACCTGAAAATCAATAAAAATATTTCCAAGTAGATGGAATCCGAAATATAACTGCAGTGATTACAGGAATCTTCCCAAGCAAACAGTTAAAGGCTAACTGTCACACTCTGAACCAAGCCGTGACCTTGAGCCTAGTCAAATACGACCTTATTGTTAATAGTTCGGCAATATGCAACAGAAAGTTAGGTAATTAAGGTGAGTCTTTAATCAAAGCCACATAATAAAAGCTCAGACGAGGAAGGTTGAAGAACACGAAGTGTGGTTAGGGGAGATTTGAATAGAGGTTGAAATGCATGACAAGGAGAAGAGACAAATAAATGACAGTACTGTCCAACGAAATGCTGCGGAGGGATTTTCAGCGTTTTCTTTTCGTCACGGTTATACCGATGTTCGTTCAACTACAAAATGTTACGCATTGTTTAGCGCACATATACAAGTGCCTTGTTACTCCTTTATTTCTCTTTGCACCGGAATCTTGCCCTCAAGGCACAGCTATGGAGCCTCTGACGCCTGGAGCAAACTCGATGTCCGCGTTTTCTCAAGGTCATAGTTCACACAAGAGGCTCAACAAATCCAATTTATAACAACTAGAAACTTAAAAATTTATATCATACAAGTAGTTAGCACGATCAGGATTCTAACCCAAATATACCGAGCTTATATCTGATGTGTATCGTGGACACGATGCCACTTTGGAAAATATTTTAAAGTATGTACTCCGCATAATACTAAAGAACAGACCTAATCAATAAAACTCCAAGACATCTGCACAAATATACTGTTACTTACTTTTATTGATTTCATCTACTTAACGACCCTACTTGGGAAGCATACCACATGCAAAAGAATGCTGTAATTTGTAGATCATGACTGTAAAAATGGCGTGTACCTGCACTGGCAGAAATATACTATTATTATACCTAAAGGTTATATAATCTGTGATATACAATAATAAACGCCATCAACTGTTGTCCAAAAATTGCTGTTCATTTTGAAACAAGGTTCCAGGCAGATCCACTTCTGTGTCGTCGGTCTGATGACTGAAGAAGATAAACGAACAACCATCCTCGATTGCTAGAATAAGGTATATGTCATATACCTCGATCTCTCAAAGCATTGTGTAGGGTCAATCATACATATTTTATCAGTAAGTTCAAACTGATAAGTACTAAGCAACTATCAACAGATTGGTTTACAAAAAATCTAAATAATCTACCTTTTAAGGTCTGAGTGGACTTCACATTTCCTCAAACTTCGGGATTAACCGGTGGGGTCCACCAAAGTTAAATACAAATACCCTCTCTCTTTTCAACTTATGTAAATGATGTCCTTTGAAAATAATTGTTTGAGTTATTACTTTTCACTGACGATGTTTTGTTTTGGAGATATGAAGGAGAGTTGAATGCAAGATTAGATGGATTACAATGGGATTCAAAATGAAGAGTGGTCTATACGCGATATGTTGCAAACTGCAAATGCCATGTAGGATATTCCCTTCTACGAGTCTACTGTTTCGAAAAAACCTACGTGTCTTAATATTTTATGGTCTAAATCCTGTTCTAGACCAAAAACATATCACTTCCGAAGATAACGACAAAGCTATTACGTCCAAAATTAATTTGTTAAATATAAAATATACACAATAAGAATATACAAGATGTTACATAAATTGTCAGAAATTGGCGTGTTCGAGTTTCGTTTAGTCTGATAATCCGCCATCATAAATAATTGATAATTCCAATTCATATATGTCATAACTCAAGATGCATATCAAGATAAAGCACATAATGAGAACATCACGGTGATCTGTTAACGTGGATAGCAAATATACTAGAGTTCGGTTATCACAACAACAGGTAATTGAGAACAAGAATTATGTTTATGCAGCGGTGTATTCGTGAGTGATAATCAGTGTGTCATGCTACGGGGAATCTCAAAAACGAGAACGAAAGATCCAAGGTCATGTTCTTCGCATAAATATTTTAGAGTCAATCACAGTAATTGGATCAATTATGACAATTAATGAAAGAAATGCAAATGGTAAATAAACTAACTACCGAACGTCAGTTCTAATTGACTCCATAAGTCCTTCTGTGATATTAATGCCATCAGAGCAAACCTTATATCGACAACTAAAGTGTACTTTTGGCCAATTTGATAATAGAGATAACTGCTCTTCATGGTTTTATCTGGACTTATTAGGATTCTGTAAATATGGTATTTCCTCGTTCACTAAAAAGGGATGTGAATATTCTGGGATGCATCGGAAATCTATCTTTTAAATGCACACACTATCCAAAATATTTATGGACATCATTCAGAATGCCTACCTTTTGCAAGTTGTTAGTTTCTGGAATTCGCAGCCGATCGAAATGGTTCAAAAAATTCCCTGGGAGTCTATATATAGGAAACTTGACATATTATGAAGACTAAGGGCAGTAATTTATGTTAATTCACTAACATTTCTATTCTCCTTACTGCATATACTCATTCTGTCTGGAAGAGTCTAGGGTCCCTCCTGCAGAGGACCGCAAGGTGACAGCTTCTACTATACGGTTTACAAACATATGAATGTTTGAACCATGTTGGAAACCCTAAATTTGTGACCCATGGAGCACAGGAGGACTGTTAAGAATGAACTTGATTTATCATGATATTCATAATTTCACTCAATCTGAAAGCGTCCCAAAATGCTTTATTACTGTGCTACACTGAAGAAAGAACAGATATTGTAGTACAAAAGTTCGTGTGATTTTTTCCGTTGTTAAAATCAGCAAGATGTGTAGCCCTCTACCAAGTATAACAGTAAGAGAAGATGCTGAACAGGCTTCCAAGAGAATATTTGAAGTTCAATTTAGTTCACTTGGTACTCTAGATTATTAGTTGATAAGGTACTATTCGATTAAATTTGCAGTGTCGGAAGAGATAAATATCTCTTTAAATTGTTATTAAAGCTATATGATCACACAGACACATAGTACTGAGGTAAATAATTGGTTGACTACCCGAACCAGAGTTAAGACTCGATGGATTACATGTTCAACAGGTCCGCAATTTTGTAGACGACGCTGAGACAAAACAGAACGTTACAACGTACCGAAACGTTGTGTAGCTTTAACTCCATTTTATTCTGCCTCTAGTACTCACTCTTCCTGGAATTTCGTAAGCTCCACAAATTGTCTTTTTAAAGAAATCCTTCTAACAGAGAAACTGTCTCGATTGGCCATCTGTTATTCCATTCTTAAAGCGAACCCATTACCGGTAAGAGAAACTATAAAATGAGCATGGCAGTGTAAATCATGGGTTTATTTCACTTAGCAAACTGTCTAGTGTTGGCTACTGGTCCTCATTTGCTGGTATACAAGTCTAGTGGGATGTAGGTTAAATTCCATTCATTATGGCACCTTTTAGACCAGAAAATGATGCTTTTTGGCCCTGTTGCAAAATTGCATGCGTGTACGCACTTACACAAATTTTGAAGTTTTTTTCTGGTCACCTTAGCTCCTCATACCTATTTATCTAAGGGAGATTCTATCACTTTGTATGCTTGTTTATTTCAATAATCGTTTCAGGATGTTTTTGGTATAGTATTGGAGATAATAGTAATCACCATGATTGTACGTGGATCACTTTGTAGAAGTGAGTTCAATGTAGTAGCATCCAGTGTAGGCTGGTCTATCGCTTCATTAGTAGCCACAAGGTGAGCTTTCAAACCCTTAATTAATGCTATCAGATATGTCCCGATTTGGTTTGGCACGCGTGGACTAGAATTCGACTGGAAATATTTGTGTTTGAGTTACGAAGCAAACTTAGATTTGGTAAGAATGCATATAATCCTGTTCGATTCTTTTAGGTTGATACATTTGCGATGTTTTATTCTGTTTGGTTACTGTCACGTCGCTCAGGCCCTATTTGGAGCACTCTATTGGGCCTTCTCACCGTTATGGCGGGGCCAGCTAAAAGTATACTCTATGCGTAAGTTCACTCTTAAACTGAATGTATATCTTTGCAGTCGCATGTTTAAAATCTTGTTTGTATGTAGAATATAGTGACTAACTAGTTGGTTCTTTGGCCGTTTTTATTGTGCCAAGAATAATATGAACTGGAATGCCACTTGCTAGATATCAAACATAACAATCGATTAGCTTTTTTTCGACAAGTGGTTCACTTCCCATTATTTGTACATCAGTTTACTTCTTATTCAGATAGTTAAATGGCGTGAGCTGCAATCATATAATCCTTAACTGTCGTCAAATTAGAATCACAGCTTTATGCACTGCTGTATGTGTAAAAGGAAGTAGGATAGTTTGGTAGATGAAGTTAAACCTAGTAGTGTTGTATAGCAAGGCCAACACTTCATGCCTATCAAATTTTATTGTCTCAAGTGAAACATGTTTAATTTGTCAGTGCCTCTAAAGGTGGCATTTATCACAAAGACCAAGTCGACATGCATTTACCCAAGTTCCACTAGTCTAGTTTCCGGTTAGTTAAATCTTGAATACACACCAGCTATGTATTTCTTTCGTATTTCGTGATAAGTCGGTACGAAATATTCCGAGTCTTCTATTTTCAAATATAGAGACCTAATTTCATAACAGTTTGTCCTTCAGTTTGGCAAATATATCGAGTACATTCTACTTCTCACGAAAGATCTGCAGTAAATTTCCGTCCCATAGAAGTATCAATAAGCTAGTATACTTAGTTATATAAATTCGAAGACAAGTTATGAAGGAAGATATATGGTAGCAATGGACAACTGCAAACTAGTAAATCAAGAGTATACTACCAATTTGAAAACCATCAGTCTACGAGTGATTGTTGATCAATAAACTGTGGAACCTTTCACTGTTTATACATATGATATTTAACAGATTGTCTGCTAGAGATAGTTCTAGTTATCTTGACCATATACTTGCATTCTACCTAATTAATTTGCCTCAGTAAAATATATTCATTTCTGACAATCTGTGTAGTATTCGGCTGAAGTAGACCTCGTTAGCATTTCCATGTATCGTAACTTACTGACTCCCTGCTTCGGTTTGGGCACCCAGGCATATCACGGCCCTCACACAAATCAGAAGAGATTTGTGTGGCGCATATGTATTTGGTGCCACATTGTACTAATATATATGTGTTCAAATAAATAAATAAAACTTAATCACTCACTGTCATTATCTTTTACTGAAAATTAACACAGAATTCGTACAGTTGAATGAGGCTTTTTCGGAACCTAAACCCAAACATCTTTATGCTCCAGTCTATCCTTACTTTCACTTCATTGTGTATTTATAATTAACTAAGTCATTATTCTCGTACGGAATTTACTGTCCGAACTGGTTGTCCTGCACAGTATTAGAAACCAAGAACCTTAGTACGTTCAATTCTTACCTGGTATCTCGTAATTAAAGCTTACAGTTTAAACTAGCGGGTCACAAAAAACAATCTTAAGCCTAAGATATGTAATCCAGCGAAACTTTCCATTTGATTGCAGGTTGTTACTAATGTTCAGTATCACTAAATCTAGTCATATTTCGTCAAGTAGTTTCTTTAGTCATCACACATGTGCTCTTTACCTGTACAGATTAGTTAAATAGTCAAAAGTATTTTGAGTGTAAGTCTAAAATGTAATCGCAGTAGTGCCAAGATTTCATTTATTAGTTTTCCAACACAACACGAAAACCTTGTACTACTACTCTAAAATGTTAAATCGTTTCGCAACATCTAAATATAGTTTAAAGCTAACCATTTGTCACAAGTCAATTCGAAGTTGTAACTGTAAACTGAGAAGTCCAGACAACTATAAGTGCTCCCTCGATGCAGTACTTGGTTTCAACTACCGTAACAGCCAAGATCAAGCCTTATAGACTATAACAGTTATTCATCAAGACCCTAACGTCTTAGACAAAAGCTAGAGCAGCTAATTAGGATTCGAGAGCGAAGTCATACAGTCAGTCAGTAACAACGTAGAACTTCGTACGTACGCACATCAGTTCGAGTTGTCACACCCCATTAGCACAGAGATCCAGTTGTCGATTCAAATTCCGTAGTGGTAGAGGTGGTAAGAGTATAAGCAGTAATCGGAAAGATTAGGGTTTGAAGATGTTATTCAAGGAGTATAATCCAGTGAAATAGATTTGGAAAGAAAAAAAAGAAAGGGACATGAAGAATTCAGAAGATTAAAATTTGGGAGAACACAGAGTGGATGCACTTGCGCCATTGCAAACGATTTTGAGCCATGTCATTCAGGGTCTCTAACCATCGGTTGCTATCATCTCGCGGTCCCCAACCAGGTAGTCTACACCTACCAATATGACCCAGTCCACTTGTCAGTGGCTTCATGAACTTGTGCCGTTTTGGTCTGGCCGCCCCTAGCTTTCTTCCAACCTACTTCTATACCACTGAACATCGCACGACGAGGCAGTCGGTCGTTGAGCATACGTAACACGTGTCCCAGCCATCTTAACTGATGAAGTTTCACCACTTCATCAATCGATTTGCCATCCTTACCTAGTACCCGTTTCCTAACAACTGCATTACTCACTTGATGGTCCCAGAATATGCGAGCAATATTTCGAAGACACCTATGATCAAATACTAGTAACCTACGGATATCCTCTACTCTTACCGGCCATGTTTCACTGCCATAAAGTAGAACGGAATGAACTGCTGCACAGTAAACACGTCCTTTAGTTGGTAGACGGACATCTCGCCTACGCCATAAATGACGCAAGTTGGTAAAAGCTAGTCGAGCCTTCTGTATCCGTGGTGAGATTTCGTCACACACCAGACCACAAGGGCTGACGAAACTTCCAAGATAAGTGGAGCGATCGACACGCTCAATTACATCACTTTCTATCATTAGTTCGGGTGTCGATGCAACCCAATCCTGAAGCAACATTTTGCATTTCGAGGTGAAGAATCGCATCCCGAACATGCTTGCATTGTTGCTTAGAGTGGTCAGAAGACTGCATTTTGTCAGCGTCTTCACCAAATAAAACTATGTCATCTGCATATTCTAAGTCAACAAGTGAACCTCCTGGTAGAAGTTCAACCCTTGGAAATCTAGACGAGGAAAGTGTTACCTCTAAAAGTACGTCGACGACAAAGTTGAACAAGAATGGAGAGAGTGGACAGCTCTGACGAACACCACTTAAGGTAATCAATTCTGATGACAGTTCGCCATAAGCTCTCACTCTACCAGTTGTGCTCGAGTAGAGAGCCTTTACAAGGTTAATGTACTTCTTTGGTACTCCTTTCAGTGATAAACACTGCTATAGAACCTTACGATCAACAGAGTCGAATGCCGCCTTAAGGTCGAGAAATACTACGATTGTGGGGCGTCTGAATCTGTGTCTGTGTTCTAGAACCTGACATAGTGTGAATATCTGGTCCATACCCGACCGTTGTTGCTACCTTGACGTGGTGGTCGGGCTTGCCTATCGTGATAAAGCGACCGAGCTATACTGGCTGGGACAACCGTTTCTCAAGGTCCTACCACGTCAGACAGGTCGGTTGAAGAGCGGTAAGACTAAAAGCAACAAGCTCAAGGTCGTGAGAAGTGTTAGTCGGGGAGATAAGAATGGTATTAAGAGGTTTAGGAAGGATTTGAGTGTGACCAACTTGATCTTGTGTGCTATTACGGGTATGAGGGCTGATGTCACTTACCGGCTGCCTACACCGTAGAAGGGTATTTCTTGAGGAACCTGAAAAGGGAGTTGGATTAATGTTGGCCGAAGTCATGCAGGTAAACATACTGATGTGTAGTGGTATTAAGGTTATTCCGGAGAATTACCGTCACTGAATAAAACGCAAGAAGTAATAAAAACAGTTTACCTCCTTAATCTAAACATTTTTGGTACCGGTGGTAAGACTTAAAAAATGAAGGACTAAAACAACATATAAAAGAGTCGTACGTGACTGGCCACATCTAGTTGTCCCTTGGGTTCTGGTGTTACACTTCCAGGTCGATAAGATTCCCCGAATTTTTGAACGAGATATCATTTCAATGTAAACGATTAGCAAGTACCTACCTTCCACACCAGTAGCACTTAATTTCATCTTGTCTGCTATAAAACCTGGTCCCTCAACAATTTTTCTATCTTAAAAATATATTTCACGAGGTACTACCTAAGAATTTAATTGATTATAAATGGGATTTTTAATTCGACATAAATTGGGATAATCTTTAGTCAGTTATATAAACAATGGTGACGTTCTTAATAATAATGGTTATGGTGCTTCAGTAACGTCTTACGAACTCATTTCAATGGTTTCCAAACACAACAGTAATCGAAGGAAACGCAAATGCACAAATGACTAGGTTTGTTTTCTTAAACGTCGTTAATGAAAGTTAATAAAGTGAGATTGAGCCGTTTTTTACTCATCAAAGAGATGTAGATTAAAAATCGTCTCTCTGGAGCTATCCGTACGAAGGACGGATTATCAATCTACTTCCAAACGAAGAGAAATATTTCAATCGTCTTTTTGTTATTTTCCAAATACCACCAAAAAGCCCAATTGAAACATCAGTAATTTCTTCTATTCGAAACGATGTTACATCTATAATAACCTTAAGGCAAGGTAACTCAGTAAGTCTTGACATCTTACTTCCAGAAAATCTCTTAAAGTGATGGCACATTTTTCTTAGAGAGATTGGTTGATATTAGATAATCGAGGGGCAAGTTACCGGCCCTGTCTGTCCTACTTTATGAAAAGAACGGAAATCCTTTTTAGATCGCTACAAAGGAAAGTCACATCATGTGTAAACTATTAGCTTCCGTATTCATTCGATTTCTAGTCAAGACTCAAAAATCCTGAAATAGCAAAGTACGTTGTAGACCTGACTGCAGATGTATGAATCAAATATTTTCTGGTGTTGTTACACAGAATTCCTTCACTACAAGTAACTAATCGTATTCATCTGTCAGAAGACGGTATTTAATCAATGGTTCTTGCGGCGAAAGTTAATTAAAGAACCAAAACAGAAGTGCGTCAATTTCCTGAAGTATCTACTTGATCACTTAATTAGGTCAACACACTGATTTTCCAAACCAAATAAGGTTTCTAAGCTTTCTGTTATAATTGATGTTACTGTTATTACTTTATTTTCTTGGTATTCATCTTCCTATTAGTGCAGCAAATTTGACCAATAAGTATATGCTAGGTCTTACGCTATATATGATTGACTAGCTACTATACAGTTATTGAGAGACTCAGCTGTGATAAATTGGTGGCTAGCCTAACCTCTACAGACACGGACACTTCTATTGATTTTCACTGCGTTGCTGTGCATATAGCTCAAGTAATTTCTTGAGTGATATCACGTACTGCAACCCTCCATAACTGAAATCTGCTAACATAATAATCTATGTTCAAAGCAGGAAAAAAACAATCTCATTCCCACAGGTTTTGTTCACTTTTTTATCTTCCTTTGAATATTGAGGTTTAGTACCAGCTCTTTTGCTTCTCGATATCACTCGTTGTTTATGAGCTCTGTTCTCGTTTAGTGTTTACTACATGGCAAAAAGGTCCAACTGCTGTGTTTATTGTTAAAGTATCTGCACGAGGATGAAAAAATGATCGAAATATCGAGAATGCTAACCAAATCTTCGTTGACTTCATTTATATTAAAACAAACACTGAAAACTATCTTTAAAATTATGTCCGTGAGTCCAATATTTATTTCACTAAACTTGCCTCGCTATCCGCCAGTAGAATGTAATAAAAAGAGCTCTTCCGCCGGTAACAGCCTTAACTAGGCGAAAATTCACTAAGGGTCTCCATCTGAATATTTAACGACAGCCGCACAAATCTAGTGTTTCATTCAGATTTCATTCTTTAAGAATTTACTTGGCTCTCGCTATATTTCTCTAAGCCAATCTCTTATATAAGTACGTTTGTATGTACGTCATTGTACATAATGTTTGCTCAAAAATGGTACGAGGACTACTACGTATCCAGTCTTCAAAAGATTGCAAGTAGATCTTGAATATTTTTTAACACAATAATATTGTAGTTTTCTCGCCTTTTAGATTATTATCCCACGAAATTGAGAACATCTTCGTAACACTCGCGATAAAAACAATCATTTGCATTATCTTTGGAATTACAACTATGATAATACGATTACAAAGACATACTGATCGAAGTGAAACCCGGGAATCGCAAGGATTATTCACCATTATTCGTTTGTTATATCAGTTGATAACGGGACGATACATATGTGCGTACAAAAGTCGAGACTCAAAATCCAGCTCATCAGTGTTTCTCAAAAATGTAAAATGAAAAGTTCGTTTCAAAACGCTTGTCTACAAACAAAGTCTTTCCACTGTGCAACCTACAATTAAGAAAATGATTATTCTAGCGTTATTTATACGTATTTTGAAAACAGAGAATGTTTCAAATGCTAGTTTCTTTAATAAAATAAATGTGATGTGATCCAAGGGTTTAATTAACTGCTTAAATGTATTTTATCTGGCATAAATTTAGCACAACACCGTCAGTCATGATCAAGTGAATTTATCACCAGTTTGTTAGGCAGTTGCACCGATCAGTTGGTTATTTTAATGTCAGTTGGATATAATCGCAAAACACTGGAGAAATAGGTGAATAATTATAAAGACCTAGGAACATGTTCATGAAGAACCAAGTTTTATGTGAAATCTGTTTACAGACAACAAAAATGCCAGGAAAATATTCTCTAAATTAAACCATTTTTTAAATTGAACGATTTAAATTTATTATTATACGTAGCAGCCTTCATTATATCTTGATGTCTTATAACGACTCATATTGACTGCAAAGATATTAAGTTTCGGTATGTATTCATTTGGATATAACAGTGAGTGAAGCGAATCCAAATTAGGAGGGTGATTGGCAAGTCTATAAATGTATGTGATGATCAAATTAAAAATTCCTAGCTTTATTTGGAGGATCTTATTTTTAGCCTTGGAGTTCCAATATTTGACAAACACTAAAAGAGTCCCGGTCTGATAGACGGAATTGTCAGAATATAGTGGTCAGTTTGACCGTTACACAGGTAATGTCTTACCTCGAAACCAAAGTTCACGGCTACCAGCATAAGAAAGCTTTCGGCTGGCCAGATACTTTCAAAACGCATGCTCTAAATACTTTTAAACGATTAATTTCTCGCTCGTTCGGATTATATAACGCCAATTTACACGTAAGCTAGCTTATCTCTAAGAGGATCGTGTTTTTCGGATATGATACAATACCATAATCGAAATATCCAACGAAATATATTTGCCGCAGTACCTACTACCATTTAGTTAACGACGTCAGGTATAAGAATAATAAAAAGGTCTTACAGGAACTGATAGGTAGTGAGATATTTCTTTCTTCTTTTGATGATTGCCAGGTATTTGAGACATGAGTTCCTTCAAAGCGTTGATATTTCGCTTTTCCAAGCAGAGCTGAAATAAAAGACATTATTCAGATGCTTTGAGAACTGGTACGTTTTTGAATGTCTCAAACTGAATTTCACGGTGAAACAACAGTGTAATTAAGGTTCATTTGCTCTATCTGGATATGTGCGTTGTGTACTTTATCATAATCGTGCGGTAATTTACTGGACTAGGAATAACATTATGGCTGATATATCAACTCTTTGTTACATTTTTTAACTTGATGATCAAAAGTTCTTATTCTGAGCGCGTATACTTAACTATAACGACAAACTAGAATGTCGAAATGAAAAGAAAACAACTGAAGAATTCGTGATTGATGTAACAGACGACTGTCAGTTTATGTGTTTCTACACCGGCGAGTGACTCACAGTTAGCTAATCTCCCGGATAGACATAACTTACAAATTCTCTTGAGGTGAACTTATATTTAGGATGTAACTGTAGTGTGTTCTACTTATGTCGACAGATATGAGTAGTATATGTCACCAACCGAAAGTGGGATAGCTGGCGGCAGAGCGTTGAGATGATCTGAAAGAGGACGAGAGTGATTGTTATGGAAATGAAGGAATAATGAAGTCTGAGACGATTGATGGACATTTTGCAAATGAAGTACTTTCTGTATGGTTCTCAGACTTTAATAAGATATTCTGTAATTTTGGATTCAAACACATTTGGTTGTTCCCACTTGCATTCTCGTTCACTACATTTCTACCTGTTAAGAATAAGAGTACTATAGTGCTTGATACATGCCCTTTCCAACATATTGTACTGAAGGCTACAATTGTAATTCCATTTAATTTCGCTTTTGTGTTTTTAAGTACAGAAATTTAAATGCACTGGAGACCTTTCTAAATCTTCCACCAAATTACTGTTTCACTAATGGGAAGTAAACCTCCATTTTTGGAAGTACTAGAGGCTGTGATGGGACTATATGATGGAACCCTATATAATGAATGTAAATGTAATTAACGTTGAATAATGTGTAGCCATAAGGGTTGTTCGTTATAAATTGTTACAAACAATTTAACTTACTTTAACCGCTTCATCGACCATATTTAACCTAATAACAATCTGTATAAATTCATCATCACTTAGATATTTCAAGTAACTTTCAATAATCTAAAAAAGAGAAACACTAAATGAAAATTCAGATCATGAAATAACTTAACAGTAATACCGTTGTAAGAGATTAACCCTTAATTCATTGACTCAACAAATCTATAATTGTCTTAAATGTATCACTCAGTTAATTTCACAAACATTATAGAGAATATCATTATGTGTTCTAAGAATGGGAACATAATTTCCTCAGAACGAGTTTATTTGGAGATCTACCTATGATATCAGATGTAGAACAGTTTTTTCATAGACAAGTGGATACAACCAATATATTGACAACACCATACTACGACACTGCCTTTTCACTATTCTATTGAAACTAAACTAAATATTTCATAAGTAATCACTCTAGTTGAGGTAATTGAACAAAAATTAAAACCACCTAGATTATGACTACATATGAGTACCAACAGCTGTCAGTTTCCAAAACTGAGCAAAAGCAGATTAGTAATGGACAACCAGTTTCACTGAGTGTAACAAGAAGAAAACGAAACAACTAGATCCAAGAGATGTAGTCAATGTGGCAAGAAGTGTATGCGAACACGATACACTTTAGATATGTACCTTTAATGGCTTGCAAGTTCGAAGATTTCTTCATTCATATTCAGAGGGTTTATACCTAAATGCAAGGACAGAAACCACATATCAGCAACTTGTAACCGAGATGAAGGTAGGAGATGACTTTTCGAAATATAGGATATTATTTTAGCCGGGTAGTTGGTGGGTCTTTGACTAAGTTAGGAACCTTAGATAGTATCTTTAGAGCAGTGTAATCGGTTGTATGCTACAGCAACTGCAATATTAGTTCTTTCTACTTTGTCGAGTCAGCTGGTAAGAACTCCACTAGGCGCCAGATTATGTATAAATGGGGTGATACTAGTTAAGGAGCTGATTGCATTATCAGGAAATCTATCGAAAGATATTTTATTCTTATCCAAGAAATAGGCTATAATAAAAAATCACGATACCTAGAATTCAATCCACTGCCATATCTAATGTAACATATTGGAATCTTGCAGATAGACTCTATTTGTAACGTACTTTGGTCGGCACTGTAACTTGCTGTCGAAATATTTACTGAAGTTAAAAGTAGAAATAATCGGTTTCCTATAGGTTCAGAAATCCCAAGACGCGTGGCCTGAAATACGGTCGGATTTCTCTCTCAACTGATGGTGACTTAAAAACAATGATCTTGTCTTTATTGGCATCACTGTAGCCAATTCTGTAAAAACAGGAATGTGCGAATTGTGTATGTACACAGTACCACTCCGACCTCTTACTGTGTATGTAACCTATAAGCTTTAGAAACTTGTGCTATACTATTAATCTGTTATTATTACCCACAAAAATACTACAGATTATCATTGTGCAGATTCAGTTTTGAGAAACTCCCGAGGAAGGATTTCTTTACCAAATCTCATCTTAGAATTCGACAACCTCTAAGGACTAGACGCTGAATTCATTACTATCTACTAACCGACTTTTTTGACTTAGTCTAAAAATAATCAAGTCATCAGATAGCTAGCTCATTGGCAAGGTCTCCGAATGGGGTGGAACTGTCAGTTAAATAAAGTTTACAGATGAGTGTTAACAAACAGTAAACCCATGTTCATAGCCCTTGGTTGATCATATCTAAACTCAAAAGCAAATAATATCCTCAAGATGGTAGGTTTTAGTAATCATAGATAAAACAAAAAATGTTTGAAGATGACGTTCAATCAGTATTTTTTCGACAATTTCATTTTAAAAAGCTGTATTTAAACGAGAAAACTAATGAACAAGTTTTATACATCAGTGTGCATTAATATACTGAGTGAAAATGATGGAGTTCATTTCACAATAAAAATTAAAATAAATAACCATTAAAAAGAGGGATAATAAGACCGACTAGATATGATAGAATACATGAGAGATTAAAGGTCAAGGACACGATCACAAGATGTGAGATTCCGGTATGATTCCCCAAATAGTTAAATAGTACCCCCCTGACAGTTAGTTGTTTGAGGTAAAGAGAACAAGATTGATTTGTGTTGTATAATTTTAAGTGACAGACCATTAGATAACAGGTTTGAACAGGATACTAACATTAATCTGGTGCTATTTACAAAAAAAACAGACATCTCTGAGTGTGGTGATATTCCTAATAAGTTATAAAGATTTCGCAATACATTAACTGAGCTGCGTTCAGTAAACTAGTTCGCAAATGAGTGAAAATGTAAGTCTTTCAATTCGTCAATGCTATGATCTACCATTTTAAGGAATATATTTCTGATCTACCAGGTTTAAAATAGGGGATACAACCACAACAATATAACTGTAAAGTTCCAAATCAACTACTTACAACCTTGATACAGAAACAACCCAAGATTAATAGAAGCCCAGTAACAATTAGGTCTCATATGTACCATAACAAAGCGTCATTTCAAGTAGGTAAACATCAAACCTAGAGTTACAACAATTTATTTCTGATGAAAAATAAATAATCTCTCCAACGCAGATGGAATTAAAAATGCATCTCAAAATGGATGTCAGTTGTACTGTTCTTTTTATCTACTTACTCTAAAATAGTACTAAAATATATGACAATTCATTTGTAGTTTTGGGTCATTTAAATGTTCTTTATTTTCTTTGCAGAATTACATGTTGTAGAACAAGTGAATATTATGAAATAATAACTGCAAAGAGACTTACATTGTTTGGGACACCTAATGAATTGAGATGAAGGATAAAACGGTCAGTTGGGATGGTAACCTCCATACGACGCGACAAAGATTTCTTTAGAAATTATAGTCGATTTATGTAACCAGTCAGTTTACCTTTTTTAACATGATAAATTCTAGATCGTCCCAGTTTCGTGACTGAACAAGGGGCTCTATCAACAACCATCTAAACTGTTCATCCGATATCTAAAATATAAGGATATTAATTATTAGTAATATATAACAAGAATTATTTCCACACGATGAGAGAAAACAAAGAACCTATGACGCATGACAAAAATAATTTGAATGTGGACGTAGAAAACAAGTAATGTAAGGATCAGAAGACAATTCCAATAGCCAGAACACACTATTCAAAGAAATCCAAACCTCTTTATCTTGGTGTGAACAACTGATATAAGAGTCTAACTAACTATTAGTTATTTCAGAGCGTACCAGCGTCAGCATGAAAAGTCTACGTTAATTATAGGCATCGAACAGTGGAGAAATCGACAGAGCGTCTACTCAACATATTTACCATACAGCATTCAAAGGAGAATACTGGATTGAGGGTAAGTGGGAGGCTATTCACCATTTGGCTTGTTAGGTGTAAAAGAACATGAGAACTGGAAAAGAAGTTATCTGTTTAGTTTGCTACACTTTAAATTAACACAGAAAGCGAGATTCAATAAAGAATATATATCAAGGTCAACAATAGTGGAAAATCAAAGTAACGGAACTAATTAAAGGCATAATATCCCAAAATATCTAAAATTCAGAGAAAGATAAAGAGCGTACCTAGATCGCTGACTGATTTTACGCTATGCCCTATAATTTATGTAATTGTTTCGTTGTGGATCCCGACTGAGGAACCTTCGTCTTAGCATACAGCTCAAATGGTTTTCAAGAGAATGAATCCAGAAAGTAGGTAATTCTGAAACCACTTCAAGTAATCACTTCACACAATAAACAACTGCTAACTTGATTGTGGTCATAAGTCTGAGTTCAGAGATCTTAGTAAGCTGATCCATTATTGTATATGCCAACCAGTGATAAGCATACGACAAACTCTAATGAACGTCGAGTAACATGGTTGTATCTAAGAGTAAATCTAGTGTTAGCAAGTACACCTGTATTCTTGAATTCTGATATAAGTCCCAGGTTTGATTGATCGACGTAAGGTCCGACCTAGAACCCGGCTGGTTCTTACCGTGTTTGATACCCTTGAGCACTAGTTGCAAGGCAGATGAACATAGTAACTGAAATCTTGGGGACAATATCGGTCAAACTGACTCCCGGATGGTTATTTCAGACCAATTTTTCCTACACTACAATTAAAGGGTAAGCGACTGAATATGTTTACACAGAACTATGTCTGATCCAAAACCCTCCTAATTTAGCTCAGATAATATTTCTGTCTTTAAACATGAGGTCGACACGTTAGGATATGCTTCTTTCCCTAAATGATGAGGATGGATTGATAGAAAGATTAAGACAACATTTAGGAGAGAACTCTGAATATACATTAGCAAACGAAATAAAACCGTGTATGTGATTGACGTTCCTCAGTTCATTACACTGTGATGAACTTTAGGACAACAACTGTGTTGGTGATCTTATGATTTAGAGTATTACGGTCTAACCATAACTGTTATCTTGACATGACGGTAAAACTTGCTAAATATGATAACCAATTATGTTACATTTACTGAGACATTTGTCTTTTATTCTTTAGCCATGCAATTATTTAGAGGAAGTTAAAAGCCAAATCATTTTTGAGTTTCTCAAAATCCATAAAACCAGGGGTTTTGGTGGAGGACAGTCCTTTAAATAAATAAAACACTGCTCTACGGAGTCTCACATCCTGGTGATGGAGTTTTTACTGCATGATATTAGTACTATGTTCAATTATTGTAAAAAACCGGCTTATCGGATTTAAACTAACTAACTAACTACTGATATCATACAGTAAAAACGCCATCACCAGGATGTGAGACTCCGTAGAGCAGTGTTTTATTTATTTAAAGGACTGTCCCCCACCAAAACCCCTGGTTTTATGGATTTTGAGAAACTCAAAAATGATTTGGCTTTTAACTTCCTCTAAATAATTTGCATGGCTAAAGAATAAAAGACAAATGTCTCAGTAAATGTAACATAATTGGTTATCATATTTAGCAAGTTTTACCGTCATGTCAAGATAACAGTTATGGTTAGACCGTAATACTTGAGTGACTGCTTATGAGATATTTAAGCCTATATTTCTTCTTGTTTACATCATCCGACTAGTATACACCTGTAAGTTTTTTCTAACCAAGAGATAATATCCCGACTGAACATAATGACTGGTTAGAACATTCCATATAAAAATTACGAAAACCAAATCTTATACATATGTACAAAGTAGCTTAATATTATTAAGAGCAAAAAGTAACTACTTCAAATCAAATTTTAAAAACCACGTGCCTTGAACTTTTTCCCAAGAGTTTCAGCCCGACTATTGGTCTTAATGCTTTGATCCATCCTCGCCAATGCACCAAGAGTTTCGCATAATGGCTGCATCAACAAACTCTCAGGAAGTGTAGTAGCGGTTTTCCGGGCGTTTGTACGTATAAAAAGTTCACTGTAATATGAACTCCATTCTTTTTCCTAATATAAACAAATTATACTAATTATCGAGTGAACAGAAATAAATACATAGCTGTTCTGATAATCCAAGATAACAGCCAATTCAGAAGAGATTTCAACAATGTTTTTAACAGCAAGATTTGAGGCCACTTCAGATCTAAGCGAAGTTAGTAAAAAACCTATATTTTAAAATACTCTGCAATCTGCATTAAATGTTTATTAACTTCGTCTACATGACCCGATGATAAATTCATCAACTTTTGCATCAACTGACTATAGCTAGAAATCTTTACAGCAACAAGTATTTTGTAAATAAATTGAGATACAAGGTTAGCTTACTTCACTTTCTCTGATAAAACCTAGTATTCTGAACAAATGAAGTTATTTATACCCAAATTAACTCACTTCATATATTTCTTTAAGTCTACTAACTGTCCAGTATTTCTAAGGAAGTTAAGAAAATGTAACGCGGCTACGGGGTTTTTTAGCATAATATTTTCAAAAGTGCTTTCTGATAATGAATTCCTAAGTTCATTAACAATCTGTAAGTGATAATTTGAAATAGATAGATTTCGAAAGTGGATGTTAACCTTTGTAATTAAATTGCCATCACAAGTGCTTGTAGTCAAATTTAAAATAACTGATTTAGAAGATTGTGAAACAAAAGTACTCAGTGGCCATGTACTCATTCCCCCAACAACAAAATCATCAAGAGCTATTGTAATTGCTTTCAACCAGCATGCCTGTTACAATAAAGATCAAAATTTAAAGAACTGTTGTATTGTATTTGAACCTCTGAACAGAACGTAGCATCTTTTCATAGTAAATCTCATTACCGATTAAGTTATGGCATATTGTACAAAATTGATTGTTAAAGTCTGTTAGGTGAAATTTAGATTATCACAGTGATACTAGTTGAGATTCATACCTATTGTTATTGATTCATCACAAAATGTTTCACCAAAGCTATCACCGAGAATATGAGAGTACGCTAAACAAAGTATGATGGTAGAATTTAGTGATAAACTACTTGAAGTATTATCTGCTTCCTCTAAATCAAATTGAAATCCTTTGACAGCACTCTCCTCCCATATATCATCCGACATTCTATTTAGAGAAAATTAAAAAATCAACCAAAAGGACTTGATCTGTTTTTGAGACATACTGACAAAATATCAAGATAAAGTCAACAACTTACATACAACATCAAAATTAAACGTCGACTGTTAGAATGCTAAATATATTAGTGATTGGGATTAGTATTGTGAACAATGGAACTTGTTTACACTGGAAAGTTGGAAAGAAATCAAAGTGATAAACAGCTTCTGTAGTAAAGCGTTATACATCTGAATAACGTAATTAATAGTTGAACGACAAAGATAACGATCCATCAGTCAGTCAGTCACCTATGACGTAGAACTAAGCACATATATGCATCAGTCCAAGTTGCCATACCTCATTAGAACGACAAGATGAACACCATAATCATTGTAGTTACTTCAATTAAAGCAATATTTAAAATAGAAATTGTGTATAATGATAAAGTACAGGAAAAAAGAAACAGTTCTCGAGAAAAATATATAAAACAATTTTAACTTCACGGTTTAAAGGAAAAGCAAGTGTGTATACACTGACGCCATTTTGATATACTTTGAGTTATGTCACCCACAGACTTTAATCAATGGTTAAAATAGTTACGCAGACCCCTACCAACGACGTATTGATTACACAAAATAAATCATTGGACTAAACAGTAGGAGCAGTTATAGGTACAAGACTAGTTGAAAACAACGAATGTCACTCGTGAACCCATTACGTTCAGATTGCATATATCCAGTGAGCGAAATGAAACAAATCTGTATAAACCGGATGAAGAATAAGTTTTTTACAAACTACGTTGTTAAGGATTAGATACACTATCTCAAGCCTTTTACCAACGTTGAACCGGTTGTTGATGACAATTGATCATAGCGCTACAAACAACGACTTCCGACAGAAATATTTCACCAGAAATACAACTAACTTAGAAAAAAATAAAGACACATCCGTACTCAGAATCATAAAAGACCCTGTTAGTTGTTAATAGTGTCCAATTTACTGTCCTAAAACTTGGGCATTTAGTTACAGTACAATAAAACCAGACTAGACTACACTGTGCACAAATATTTAGAAATTGATGATACAAGGTAGGCCTAAGGCAAAAAATGGATGTAGGAGTCATTGATTCTCTATACCAATTTCAAACGTTGAGAACATCCCCTCCTTTTAAGCGAATTTCTGTAATAATTTTGTAAAACTCAGGTTGGAAAATTTTTGATTACATGACAGAATACGAACAAAAGACTCTTGACTGCTGATTATTAAATCCCAATACACTAGAGTATCAGACATACGAATGACTAATGTATTATCTAGATGTAATCATCCTGCTTCGGTTTGGGCACCCGAGCAGTATCACAGCCCACACACAAATCAAGTGACTTGTGTGGCGCATATGTATTCGGTGCCCCTTTGTACCGATATTTGTCCCAATAATAATAATAATAATAATAATAATATGTAACCATGAAGCATTCAATATGAGTTCACTTAGTTGAAAGAACACGAGTCACATACTAAAACCTGAAAGAGTTTCGAGGATATATGCTTAAATATATGGAAGTACGCTTCAAAAGTGCCACCAAACAAGATATCCTTCAGACTCATGACGAGTTGTTCTTCTTTATGCACCTTTTGGAAGTTATTTCAATATTTAACGGTGAAGGTGCCACAAAGTAGTGTACTTCCAGATAACATCGGAGTGTGACCTAATAGTATTATCTTTATCTTTCCCGAAATCCGAGATGGAGCTAACCCTTTTCGGTATTTCGGACTGCAAAGAACGACCCATATCGCTTATTACAAAAACCAATGCCAATACAAGAACGCCGACGTCTGACCTACAGCTTATAGTTTTAAACCGGTTCAAGGTCATCAGTCCGGCGTCACCTTGATTGACTATGACCTCAAATAGTTCAAATGGTTGTGGACGGAATAAAAGAAGCTTTCGCTTAACGGCATTCCGTATCTAATATCAGTGGATCACCAATACCTCTAGGCAGGAATCTAAGTATATTAACGATAATAGAGGAAAAGGGAGTTGGTAAATCATAGTAAGATATTATCCTTAGTCCGTAAGAATAAGTCAAGTTGCCTCTTAAATGACTCCTGGGAAGTCGCTTGGAATAGCTCATCCGGCAGCGAATTCCAGAATTTGACAACTCTTAGGGAGTAGAAGTTGTGTCTTTAGTTTCTGGGTGTTACTCCTTAGGTTTGTGTTAGAGCTAAACTTAAGTAGGTGTTTAAGGGGATGTGCAGAAGTGTTAAGGATACTGTAAGTCACTAGAAGGTCACTTCTAAGACGCCTATACTCTAGTGGGCAAAGGTTTAGTGACCGAAGACGCTCTTCATAAGGCTTGAATTTGAGTTCCTGAACTGATTTCGTGGCTCGCCGTTGGATGCGCTCCAGAGTGTCCTTATCCTTTTGGAGTGAGGGAGGAAATACTATATTTCCGTACTCTAAATGGGAACGAATAAAACTGTTGAAGATCATGTGGAAAGTTCCTCTGTCAAACTGGCCAAAAATGCCCTTCAATGTTACCAATGCGAGGTTTGCTCGAAAGGCATTTTGTCACAGTTAGCGTAAGATTTCAAATCATGGGGTACCAGCACTCCTAAATCTTTTTCAACCTGAGATACTTCTATAGAGGAGTTTTCAAAGTTGTAACTGTAGTCTGCAACATGTCTCAGATGGACTACTTTACACTTTGAAGTGTTAAAGGTAAGTCCGTTGTCGTCTGCCCATCTTTGAAGTCGAGTCACATCCTCATGAAGTGCCATCACATCCTTTTGGTTGCGTATCTCTCCCTCCAAAATTTCACATCATCAGCAAAAAGTGGTAAGTCAGACGATACTTGTTGTGGAAGATCACTTATAAAAATCAAAAAAGAAGAGGTCCTAGTACTCAACCCTGGGGGACCCCACTAGGACATTCCATAGCCTGAGAGAAAGCGAAGTTCACCCTGACCTTTAAATGTCGATTTTTTAGATGTGAAGTGAACCAGCCAACTAGAGGTGATTTCATACCCAATCGTCTGAGCTCATTGGAAAGACATATATGGGTGATTCTATCAAAAGCTCTTGAGAAGTCTAAGTAAATGCTGTCGATTGCTGAGAAGGAAAGGGCACTTCTGTGTGTAATACAATTGAATTAGCGACAACAACACAATAGGCAGTTTAAATACGTGTTATCAAACAAAACGTTTTTTGAGAGACTTGTGAAAATGCATGTTAATTAAGCGGCATATTCAGACGGAATAATTTACATAAATTTGTCTATGGATTTCCTTCCCTCATCGTCCCCTTTACTTTCCCGAGTTTGTCTTTATTTCGCCCTCATTCTTTTCTCGGGTATTTAGAAACACAGTAAAAATAATTTCTCTTCATCTACACCGTTAAAAGTTTTTAAATACCGTGAATAATTTGTGTTCAATGGCAAAACTATAGTGACTCACGTGCAATTGAGTTTAGTTCAGTCAAGGTCTTTTGTTGACCTATTTAATGGACAAAATCATCCATGATATAACAACTTGTTGTATTATCTTTATTATTATGCTTGTATGAAATACATATGCTTGAACATTGTTTAGCGCCTACGCATGTATTCATTCTGCTAGCTTCATTATTAACTGCTTAGCCTATTCGCTGACTCATCCATTTTCCTATACATATATATATGTGTACATTTGCATGCATTCACTACTTCACTACTACTACTACTACAACTACTTGCTACTGCTACAATCGTAGTTCGCTTGCTCATTCATTTTGCCTCTCTGCTGTCTGGTCCGAATTATCTACTAAATAAACTGTAGTAGCTGCTTCTTTTTGCCTTCTGATTTCAAACATCGTTGAAGATTATACGATAACGGTTCGAGGGTGATTAATTAACGAAGCACAGCCACTACAGAATTGGTAATCCCGACGTGAGAACGGGAAGCGAATTTTGACGAAATAATCAAATTCCAAAAATCCGACTACCTTCATCTCAATTTGGATTATTAAATGAACTATAATTACAACTGTGGATTTATATTATTATTTTAATTACACTTACATTATTTCGCAAACATTAAACGTGACAATTATAATCATAATAAATAACAATTATTCATAAACAATTGATATATTGGTGCAATTTAGTAAGTCTGTTCCATTTTATAAATTGTGCCATTTTTTTATTATCATTGTTTTTGCTCATCTATTTTTCCTTGTGATTGTTAAAGTATTTTCGTGTGCTACTTAATTTTTATAAGCATGTCTTATGAAAACACAGTTTCAAGCGTACAGCAAGCCTCGTCCGTGAGGTCTCTTAACCTCCCTGCCCCTTCTTTTAAAATCGCAGACCCAAAACTTTGGTTTATAAGACTTGAAAATTATTTTCTCGCTAACCGCATTCTTTTGCAAAAGGATAAGTTCGGCCTGACAAGCACACTACTCCCAGACGAAGTAGCTGACAGCGTTCGAGAGGCACTAGCAAAACCAGACACAGAAAAACCATACGACGTGCTAAAAGAGGCTGTAATTAAAACTCTCTCTCTCAGTGACCAACAAGCCGTCGAACAACTTCTTAACCAAGTACAAATGGAGATAGAACCCCATCACAACTAAAAAATTATATGAAAAGTTTACTTGGCGATAGACACATTGACAATAATCTCTTTTATCAACTGTGGCTCCGCCGACTCCCTGCAAATATACAGCAGATCCTAGCTGTGGGAGATACGGATGCTGATTTAGACAATATAGCAAAGATAGCCGATAGAATATACGAAAGAAGCAAGCAAGCAAGCCCTCCACTACACAATGTGACGGTAGACGATAGACTTGATACTCTACAGAAGGAAATAAATGTTTTGTGCCGAAAACTCTCAGAGTTAACGCAGAGAGAAAAGCCACGAAGGTCATCGCGAGATCGTTCGCGTGAAAGGACCCGGTCAACTTCTAGACGACGCACAACTCCCGCGATATGTTGGTATCATCAAATGTTCGGCTACAGGGCCAGAAA